CCGCCTCTCCCTCTCCAACCCCCCCCCCCCCCCCCAAAAAAAAAAAAAAAAAAAAAAAAAAAAAAAAAAAAAGGCAAGGGACTCTTATTTGGCTTTCCACTTCCCACTGATAAACAATAAGCTTTGTGGGTCACTTTGAAATCCACCGGCTACCGCAAAAGCTTACCTTCCTCCTAAAAATACAGATGCTCCAAACTACCTATGACTTTCGTTAAGACACACAGACCCCACAAAAAAAACCAAACAAGCAGCTCTTCAAAATACCTGTATTTATTAAATCAAAACCCAAAGTTCTAACAGTTCACACATTTTTTCCTTCCAGGCTGTCCCAAATGTGACAACAGGAAGGCGAAAGTGTTTTTTTGCATGTATCCAAACAAAACCAGGGAATAAAAGTCTGATAAAAGATATGTTTATACAAAACTCACGTGGTCTTTAATTAAATGCAACATAAGTGGTACACACAGATCGATACGTACAAAAAGACAGATGCATAAAACAGAAATTAGTATTTTACATTTCTTGTGCCTTTTGTTGAAATGTAGAACATTTCCCTTCACTACCAACACCATGGAGGGCATAAAACACAGCAGCATTAACTCAAATTTCAGCTCTTATTTACAGAATTTAGATGGTAACATTGTACAATATCCTTGCTTTCATAAAAAAAAAAAAATCTTATAAAAGCTAGCTGTTATCTACCGTTATTGGAGAGCTCTGCTGATGTCAGTGAGTATAACTATTCACAGCTTGATTAACCGGTTATTGTCGTACAGTTCTGGCTACACCTGCAGTGATTATTTCAGTCGATTCAGTTCAGAGACCCTGAATCCTCTCTTACCTGATCACCTTTTCTACTTCTCCAGTGGGCCCTTTATGGGTTTTCCAAATTTCAGTGCTAATGCTGACTGCGCCATTAACGCAGCAGGATAAAGACATGACAACCGAAGGGCATTAAATATAAAATACTTAATCATTTTATTCTTCCGATTTTTTCAACTTTAATTTTGCCTTGTTTTCATGTGAGGAAGCTTTGGCTGTTTCAGCTTTCTTTGCAGTTTCAGCATTTTTCTGTTTTGGCCTTTGCTTTCTGGAACGTATCAGGTCTTCACGTCCAAGTTCCACCATTTTTGCTTCCCATGACTTCATTTCATTCTCGTACCGAACCTTATCATCTTCAGCAAGCTGCAGGTACGGCTGCAAGAAAAACAGGTATCAACAGTTTGTCAGGATAACCGCCATATCACATCCTCCCCTTTCATACAAACGTCACTTACTACAAGACCTGTGCAGCGCGCATCCCAGGCATTCACTTTCACCTCCAGAAAATTCAAAACACAAACTTGCACAAAAATACAAAACCTTAGCATTGAACTATGGTTACGTCAACAGATGGCCGTTCCTGAAGAAGTAGTTTATTCAATATTACTACTGACAGCTAAGGCTTTTTTTTGAGTACTAGTTTGAGAGAGCTGGCTTATGCAAGGAACTGGAATAGCTATTTCTGCACAACTATTTCAACTTCTTTTTCTACAGAAAAAACGTGAACCTAGTGCATGTTCTAAGTACACATTCAAAACAATCTGGAAGAAGGGCAGTCAGGAGGAAGGACAGTAAGGTACACAATACTTGAAAATCTGGAGGTTTCGATTAGGTTTCACTATAGCACCACTCCGATTTTCGCATACCCATCTGCAGGTTCGTATTTCAATACACTGAGAAAGCTGGCAGAAAACTATCCCCAAGACAACCAAAGTTAATAAATTACTGTGTGCTCATCACTTGTAGATTTCTGTTACTTTTACCTGTCGAAAGTCTTTCCACGAGCACCAAATTACTATGCTGGCACTTAAAAATATTATAGATTATTAGAAAAAAAATCAAATTGTTGTAAATAATTCCACCTTCCTCCCTAGATGGTTTGGGTTGCAAGGGACCTTAAAGACCATCGGGTTCCAACCCACCTGCCATGGGCAGAGACACCTTTCACTAGACCAGGTTGCTCAAAGCCCCATCCAACCTGGCCTTCAACACTTCCAGGGATGGGGCATCCACAGCTTCTCTGGGCAACCTGTTCCAGTGCCTCACCACCCTCCAAGTAAAGAATTTCTTCCTTATATCTAATCTAAATCTACCCTCTTTCAGTTTAAAACCATTACCTCGCATCCTATCACTACATGCCCTTGTAAAAAATCCCTCTCCAGCTTTCCTGTAGGCCCCCTTCAGGCACTGGAAGGCTGCAATAAGGTCTCCCCGGAGCCTTCTCTTCTCCAGGCTGAACAACCCCAACTCTCTCAGCCTGTCCTCATAGGAGAGGTGCTCTAGCCCTCTGATCATCTTCGTGGCCCTCCTCTGGACTTGCTCCAACAGGTCCGTGTCCTTCCTCAGAAGCCCCACAGCTGGAGGCAGTGCTCCAGGTGAGGTCTCACAAGAGCAGAGTAGAGGGGCAGAATCACCTCCCTTGACCTGTTGGTCACGCTTCTTTTGATGCAGCCCAGGAGACGGTTGGTTTTCTGGGCTGCAAGTGCACATTGCTGGGTCATGTTGAGTTTCTCATCAACCAACACCCCCAAGTACTGCCACAGTGCCACAAGATGCCACTCCACGTCCATTTTCAGGCATACAGAACGTCCATCCTATCCCACTCACTCACATTTCATAAACACTGTGAAAGAAATGGTCACTATTGGAATAAAAGTAATGACAACCTTTTTTCAAGACGCATAAATATAATCTCAGAGTATTTTCCTCAGTATCATATTTTGAACAACCGAGTTCAATATTTTGTATGAATTTATTAATTTTTACTCAAGTTTGTCATTTTCCTGTTAGATCAGAGCCTCATCAAAATCCAGACATACCTGCTTTTGAGAACTGGACAGTTTTCGCCATGCATCAAATAATTGCTTCAGCTTTGCCTACAGGATATAGAATATGCAATACATTAGGATTATTTTAACAGTAGAGTGACCGCAGAGGGTTACAGATGAATGCCACACTAGCGAAAGCCAAGCATAAACCAATGTAGAAAAGCAAAGTCACATGTGCTTAATATCCCACCCTCTTAATGTCAGTAAATAATAAACAGTATGGTTCAACAAGTTGCTGGGCATCATGTGAGTCACACTTGCAGGCAATAGAAGCGCGAAGCTGCTTAAGTTACTTAGCCTGCCACAAAAGCAATCAGGCAGAATAGCTGAGCTGATTTATAGCAACATGACTACATCTTGCTTTGCATATTAGTTTCATTTAAACCACGCCCTAGCTTAAGCCAAGCCCACACAAGTATTAGCCATGTTCACAGGAAACTTTGTGCCACTTCAGGAGTGTTTTGCCATGTGTGTGTCAAACCGGGCCTCAGCTGACTGGAGATGCCTGCCCTGTACATAGAAAACTGAGGAACAAACTATTTCCATCATCCTGATTTACTGACTAAATGCATAGGGTGAGGAACGTATCAGGCATACAGGGGAGGTCTCCAGCGCTTCAAGTGCTGTAATCCTCCAGTGTAACTTAAATTACCCCAAAGTGCAGTTTGGTGCGGAACTTGTGACTTTGCTGAGGAACTCTTGCATGTGTCATAACATCGACTGTGCTACAGGAGGTACAATAACCTCTACTACAGAAATGGTAGCAGACCGCCACAAGCATTTGAAAAACTAATGTATTTCTACACCAAAACAAAGAAAAGTAGAATTCTCTCCTTACAGAAGGAACAGATGACGTCTGTAACACTGAAGTGCAAAAAATAGTGCAAATACTTTAAGTCTGCATACCCACACAGCAGTTTATATAGGACATGCCACCAGCCATATAGCCAGATCACTGCAGCCTAAAAAAAAGAACAACCTAAGCAAAGCAAAGCAAAATGAACTATTGAACGGTTTCTTTGAAAATGACAGAATCTAGAACAGATTTTCTAAATACAACAGATCTATTTTAAAGGACAATCTTTTTTGGCTTACCACAGGTGAAATTCCCTCACTTTCTTGAAAGTTTTCTGACACAAAAATGTTAAAGCCGCTACGAGGTCTTTTAGGTTTTCCAAGCACAGTCAATTCCTTTAAAAACAACAAGAAAAGTTATTCAGTCTACCAACCATGCTTTTTTCCAAAGTTAAACTTATCATTTTTCTTCATATTCTATACAAAAATAAGACTCAAATTCATTCTTTGGTGTTTTATTCTGTAAACTGGACTGTATGTCAAGATGCTCTCACCACTTGTCAGGACTAGCGCTCAACTAAATTAAGAAAAGCCAACAACTTAAATTTTTACAGATATAAAAAAAGGCATTTTAAACTGATTCTTACTTCAGCTAAGTCTTCTAGAAACCAAAGACTGTTACTAAATTCCGCTCAGTAAGAAAGTCATGACGACAGGTTTTCTATTATCTTCACAAGGCTTGGCTCTCTGGTGTGAAATACTATATGCTCGCAGAGAGGAGGGCAGATATCTAACTGTGGGAGGTGAGAGGGTGGAACAGAACCAGCAGATTTCCAGGGAAACAGAACTAGGTTTCTGCTATCAGAACACTATCAGTCTACAGGGATGATGGCGAGAGAGGGAAAGTACAGCAAGTTATGGATGCAATTACACTTGTTTTCTCCAGCCTTGAGACATTCCCACTGCAGCCTGCATGCTGCAAATTAACATCTGCTTAGGTATTAGGCATGCCAGCTAAACTCCTTGTGGTGCCATACTCTTAAAAAAGGATCAGCAGGATCATTCAGACTTAAAACCTCCTCTAAGTAGGGGTCTTTGAAACCAAATTCATTTCACTTTTGCCAATTAGGGCAACGTCACACGAGCAGTTTAATTCACAGAAATGAAGAAGCAACAAGTAACCCCTTCAACTGATTTTGCCACTGGACAAACCATAATATTGTACCTTTACAGATAGTTCTGTCTCTCGGGATTTATACATAAACCAGCTAAAAGGGAATAGGGAAGATAATCTGTACGAACAAGTCAATAAAGGACACTAACAGATGTGCCTCTATGCAGCCCTAATTCAATGCGTTGGCAGCTACACAGGTAGCAAAGGGGCAGAATCCAAAGAAAGGAAGGAAAAAAGGCTACTTCAAACAGCTACTACCTTGTAGGGGCCACTGAAGAAACAGACACAAGATCTTTGTGAAAAGCTATGTCTGGATGTCTTCCCAACCAAAGAAAGTGTCGCTGGTTCAAATGTCTCTTATTATCTATCATTTCTCAGGCAGCTTAAGGAATAGGAGAAAAAAAAAAAAAAGGCATAGAGAACCTACCTCTAAGCACAAAGATATGTGCTAGTTCTGGTCTTCAAGCACAGGAAAACCACTAAAACAACTGCTAATACAAGCAATTATTTTAGTCCATAGAGTTTTTTTGGGTTTTGTTTTGGGTTTGTGGTGTGTTTTTTTTTTATTCTGAGAGTCGTTTTTTTATTTCTGAACATGCTTCAACTCTGCTCTGTACACTAGACAAATAGACTTCAGGTTCCTTGAGAGAAGAGAAACTTGAACTTCAAAATACTTACTCTTTTTGCCTTGAACGATCTTCTTTTTGCCAGCCGTTTTCTCCTTTCTTCTTTCATAGCTGCCACCTGGGTTGGAGTTAGCTGTGCTTTATATGCAGCCAACTGCTCTTCATACCTTTGCCAGTCTGTCTTTCTAGCTTCCTCATAAACCTGCAATGCAAACAACCACCAACCTTAAACAGATGTGTTCACCGAGATAAGCATGGTGCCTTTAAATAATGACTGAAAAAGATAAATGGCCTTTTAACACACTAATTCTGACATATTCCAATTTCAGTATCACTGCAACTTACAAAAAAACCCCAACCAAAAAAAACCCCAAACCCAAACCTACATCTAGGTAGGAAAGATACTTCTATAAAAACCCTAAGCTATTGTTGAAAATTTCAGTAGTCTGCATTGTCTGGTATTCCTCTAGTTGTAGAAGCAAGCCCTGTTAATCCCACCCTGCCACCTCCTCCCAGCTTTATAGCCAGCTTGTTTTCTCAGCTCCATGCACTTGACCATTAAACAAGCTACCACTTCTAACCTATTAATAAAAAAAATTACAGACTACCCTGGAACATAAGATTTTTGAAGTAAAGTAGCAATTTCAGATCTGCTTGATTAGCAAAATGGATTCAGAAGAACTCAGATTCAAAACGTGGGCTCTTCCCATGGATCATCTTAGTTAATCTGGTAACATTGGATGAATCTTCAGATGCAGCTCAAAGCAATAACAATTGTCCATACAAGAAGGAAAAGCTGAAGCTTGGTTGAAACGATTAAAGCGTGTATACCCATTGCAGCACACAAGTGCTCCAGTCACCAAATACATTCCTACACTGGCCAATACCAGGTACAGAAGCATCATAAAATCATAGCCTTGGTACAAGGGCACCAAGAGAAGCTGAGCCAGGCTACCAAGCATCCAAGGAGAGCTGAAAAATCACCATCCTGTTCTCCATTTCAGACATACAAATGAAAAGGCGCATTTTATACTATGGGACATAGAACCATAAGTCCAGAAGGGATGTAAGAGCACTTGAATTCTATTGAACAAAGATATTGCATTAGCTAGAAAACTGCAATTAGTTCCTAACTGGATCTAATTGCTAACTGCAATCAAGGAAGAACAATCATTACTTTGCTATAAATGGCACTTAGCAATGATTAGCAATTCATAGAGTTGTTTTACATTATCCCTCGAAACTGCCACTCTTACAGACACTCCCTCTGACAAAAAGTTTACTTGATGAAACTTAAAGTTACTTGTAAGTTAGGTCTCTGGTTACTACCTAATCTGTAGAAAAAAACAGTTGGTCCTTTCATCAAAACTGACTGAAGTTTCATCTAGCTGATGCTTATGAAAGCAGAACAACTTTACAATACTTACTATACATGTAATGTGCACATATATAATTACCATTCATAAAGAAATGAGATATTGGTTCCCGGCCCTGCAGTCACATAGAGTGAGATCTGTCTCATTGTTTCTCTAGCAACAGATTAAAAATACTAAAAGTATGGGCATGTGTAGAAGTATCAAAGTATCTTCCCGAGTACTTCAAAGCTCCCAATTCTCTTCAGAATTGTTTTTATGTCTGAACCTTTGTATGCAAGTGCTTTTTTACTGTTGTTTAAAAAAAAAAACCCACAACCAAACAAAACAAGCAACAACAAAAAAACCACAACACGAAACAAAAAAAAAAGACAGAGGACACCAAACCAAGTAAAACCACCACTAAAACTTTATCGAGTTCAACATACACAGGGCAAAGATACAAACGTACCTGCTTCTGTGATGCTGGTAACTCCTTCCAAGCACCTGCTATTTTTTTAACCAGCTCCATGTTGCTCATTTCTGTACATTAAAATTAGAAAGCAAGAAAATAAAGATCAATATGGTATCTTTAGTAAGCTGCTTCAATTTTTCCCAAGGAAAGCTGTCACTAGTATCTTTTTCCTGTACAAATATATTTTCCTCTTTCATAAAACTAACTTACTGTGGCAGTTAAAGGGAACTGTAATATGGGGGGGGGTATATTGGGGGTGGGGGGGAAGAGTCCCTGCTCTTGGTTCAAACTCAAATGAAACATGCAGTTATAAACTGAAGCACCATTTCAAGACAGACAGCTATTATCACTCCACAACAGTTTCTTTTTTTTTTCTTTTGAGCTGGATCCTTTTCTATACAATGCAAGATGGTCTGAACTTGGAGGGGGGCCGGGGAAGAAACCAAAAGTAAAATTTCCAGTTCTCAGTTTTTTGGCAAAAAGAATCTGCTGGATTCTTCAAAGCAAGTATAACGTGACCTTATCCACCTGATATAGCACGTATGCTTGATCTTTATTAAAGTCCTTTATTTACAATATTATTCAACAGAAGTAAGGTTAAAGAAGAAATATTTTCCTTTTCCCACACACAAAATTACAGTGACTTCAATCTGCTTTGATTTTCAGCTGACTGTCTTCAACTCTGGCCCTTGCACTATGGTCATTTGATGAGGTTTCCAGCCCGACCTGAATTTGTGAAGGGGGAAAAAAACCCAACCAAACAAATAAAAAACCCAAAGGTGGTGGAAAGAGGATATAAGCTTTTCTTTTCTTGAAAAATCCTTTACAGGCTTCCCCTCTGCTTCACAAAGGAAAAATAGATCTTCCTCTCTCCCACCTCAAATGCCAAGTTCAGCCATCTCAACAGTGGAAAAGCAGAACTAAGCTCTTATCAGTAACCTGACTTCCAGAACTGTGGAAAAACAAGACAGATGGGGAATTTTTAGTGCAAGTATACCAATCTTAAAACCTTCGAAAACACGATGCTTTGCCAATGACAAAAGAAAACAAATAAATTATCAGGTTACTTTTGAATGTTACCTCTACTGGAACAAGAGAGCCCAAAATTCTCAATTTGCATATGAGAGACGGTACATTTATTTGGAGATTATCAGAATTTTGGAAACATGTGGAAACCACTGGTGTGGCACTTAACTACAAGAAGCTCTGCAAGTTCAGTTCTCAACCTCTCAGAGTGTTGAACTCTTGAACTACCAAGCAAAACAGGATATCAAATGGTTTTCCCTACTTAAATTTACCTCATGGCTTGCCCAATATGACCATAGTTCTTTAAACATTTAAACATTCAACAGTATTTTTAAAGTCAGCACAGCTTTCCGTTTTGCTGCTCTCTGACAAGAAGAGTGACTGCACTGCCTATAAATGATGTTTTTGATAATAAATTAAACACATTCACAGAAAACCATTTTTCTCTAAATACATTTACTTTTTCTCCCATACACGCCAAGGCAATCCAGTACATGTAGTTTTTAAATTACTAAGCATCACAATAGAAAGACACACAGGTTGTTATATCAACAATAGTGTACTTCAGACACATACGGATTTAAAAATAACTGAAAAACACAAATCATTGTTAACATTTATTGCCCCGGTGAGTTCTTTCTTCAAACGTTTTTAAAGTTACACACAAACGTTCACTTTTTTGAGTTATTAATAGGCTAATGCACGCACAGGTACTAAGTATAGCAATACTGAATTTACTTGTGGTATGCTACGGATAAAAAGATGGTTTTGGTCTCCTGAAATCAGGGTTTAGTTTTTAATCAGCTTTGGTTACTTCACGACGCTTAGTTTTACAAAGCAATGCTTTGTTCCAGTTTTCTTTTTAAATCACACACTCCGGAGGGAAAACACCGTGTGCATCTGAAGTGGCGGCAGCTTTACAACGAAACCTCTGGCACACCTGACGTGTCACGACTCTATATTTCTAAACGCAACACCAAGCCAACCGCGAGCCCTCTCGCGCCTAACTCCCCTCGGGCCTCGTACCTGGGTTTTTTTGCCTGAAAGCAGAATGATTCTCTTTCAGGAAACGGAAATAGGCCGTCAGGGGCCGCTTCGGGCGCTCATCCGAGCTGATCCCCCTGGAGAGGCACTTCTCCGCCGAGCCGCCGACGCCGCAGCCCCTGCACGCAACGACAACGGC